TTAACATTTCTGGACTGGTTTTTCGTTACATCGCCTAATAAGTAATCGTGGCCACTTATTAGGTTATTATCAGGTCAACTGAAAACCTTATTGTGAGAGAACTCTAAAAAAATTGTTGGAGTTTCACGGTGACGTTGGAAATGCAAACAGCGCTTTCCTTTTGGCTTTGGAACCACATTCTTTCGTATCGGTGTATTGGCTGTTGTTATGAGTTTGTAAATTCACACAGTATGAGGTTTTCAGTTGACGAAGAGCAGGTACTGTGCAACACAACGTTTAGCTATAGAATTCGTTAGCTGAGAGGAAATAGATTGGTATCTCTTCGATTTCTCCCTAGCAGTTTTGAAGCGTTGATTACGTCTCCGTGACATTAATTCAGAGAAAGTCTGCTATATGAGGCCATTTTATAGTCCTACAGGTACACCGGCCTGTTTCGTTGAAATCCTGTAAAGTCGTGTAAAGCTGAGGAAAAGTAGTGCGGGGTTTATATTCCCGTCATCTTCTCGATTTTTGTTTTGGACAGCATCGAGGCTGCGTTCATACTTCGCGATAGCGCGCGTCGACGCGAAGTCTGAACGCTGCCCAAGCGCCCGGGCGGGTGCAAAGAAGCAAGTCGAACTAGGGATAAGGATTTCTGTGTAATTCTGGGGAGGATAGAGTTCGTGAGGTGGCTGATCCAAATCCTTTGTACTAAGAAGTGGTTTTCTCAACCCACGAGTGTGGCTGAACCGTCTCGGGGCTTTAACAGTACTTCGAAGTGGTTCAGAATGTTTATGATCCGATTTCACAAGGTTGTTAGGTACATTTTTCAGTGTGGCGTTGACACCTTAGGCTGCTTTCATACTTGGCGGCTGCGGGAATTCGGCGCATTGAGAGATTGCGCTACGAGAAAAATATAGGTATCCATCTGGCGACTGTGGAGATTGGGCGAACCAGCGATTCAAGAGACTTGGCGATCCAGCGTTGCAGCTAGTCGCCGGATCGCCGCATCTCCGCAAACGCAAGCGACCATCAGATCGGTACCGACCCACTATTTGGCGTGCAGAATGCCGGAACCGCCGAGTCTCTTGAATCGGCCCTGTTAGTATTGCATTCGTTTGTTGTGATCGTCGTCATATATAGATGTAACGCCACATCTCGGGTCACGATGCCAATAATTAGCATAGTTGTAGGGTACAGAATGGTTGCAATGAAGCCGGTTGCGAAAAACTCAAAATCCGTGAAAGGTACGAAGAAGACCATCAGAAAAAAGAAGGTTCATCTCAAATTCAACATTGAATGCAAGAATCCCGCTGAAGATGGAATCTTCAATACCGAAGACTTTGTACGTGAACATGTTTCTGTTCTCAAAAGTCGATAGAGTTTCCGTCTCTATCGCACTATTGGGCTTAGGGTATCATTGGTCCCTAATAAGTCCCAATATTCTACTTTAGGAGACTTTCCTGAACGAGAAGATAAAAGTGGGAGGAAAATGCGGTCAACTCGCCAATTCCGGAGTCAAGGTTGAGGTCAACAAGACCAAAGTCTCCATCATTGCTGATGTACCATTTTCAAAGCGGTAAGAGTTATTTTCTTAATGGAGTTGATCGTTGCACTCAAAAGTTTTTTTCAGCTACCTCAAGTACCTCACCAAAAAGTACCTGAAGAAGCACTCTCTTCGTGATTGGCTCCGTATTGTCGCCATTAACAAGAACACATATGCGTTGAGATACTTCCACATCAACCAAGATGAGGACGAGGGCAGCGATAATGAGTAAATGCTGTTATTGTTATCCAATAAATTGTTATGGTTTTAATTGATGTTTACACAAGGAACCAGAAAGTTTCAAAATTAAAAATGGTCTTCATGGATAGCGGCCATGTCGCACTAGACAGCTGGAAGTAGCGTGCCTGGTTTGAGCATTGTATCGAGAAGTAGAAAATCTGACATCTTAGATTTATTATTTTTAGATTTTTCATCAAGTCTTACATCTGATGATATCACTACTAATAAGGGGACAGGGATGAGTTGTGCTCGAACTACAGAGAGCCTGATACCTTTGTCCCATTTATCACATCGTCTTTGTAAGCGGTCTAGCAGATGTTCGTTTTCCCATATAAACTTGTGGCTTTCAGCTCATTAGTTGTTGTCAGGCTGCGTTCATACTCTGTCGGCGTCCACCGGCGTTTCGAGCGTACAAAAGTCCAGCCATTAGGAAAGTATAGGTATCGATCAACAAAATGCAAGCATACCGCAGCCTTTTTACGGGCAGTTTCGCTCAAGTTCAACAGTGCCCGCGGAAAGGCTGGTGGACGCTAGCGTTTGTAGATCGATACCTGTACTTCCCTAGTCCTCGAGACGTTGGTGAACGCAGACGCGAAGTACAGTCCTCATCATTACGTACTGTCGGGGCGGTTCAGTGCGGCTGCGTTTGGCGCGGTGCCAAACCCGCTCTCCACCAGTATTTAAAGCGAGCAAATGATATGACTGTATTATATCCTCCGTATTACTCGTTTTCTACCACTTTTTGTCGCATACGCGTTTCAACAAAAAGGCTGAGAACGGCTTCAACAGTGTGCACACTCATACTGGCTGACACGCCCCACCGGTCCGCAATGATGAGGACTGTATATATGAACGCAGCATCACTTCCAGTTACCCACCATGTGTACTTCCCGTATATCCCTTTTGGGACCAATGTCTCACCGTTGATGCGACGCACAGTTCCAGTTAGGTGTCCTACCCTTCGATTCCCTAATTACATCTTACCGGTTACCACATTTCCGGTCACCTACCGATAGCGTTCTCAAAAAAGACACTTCGGCCCGAGTCACAGTGGAGAATATCCTGGCCTCATGTCATCGCCTGTACCTTCTTGGAGACTTCGTACTGCTACAGGATAGGGTGTCTCCACACGGAAGTCGAAGGGCGTTGGCGCAAAAAACTGTCCCGCCTACTTAAATCGGCCCAGGACGTTGAGTACCTGAATGAAGACGGAATGAGTCGAATGGTCACTGACCTAAACCCATCATTGTCGGTCCCGGGCGGATGCTCAACCGGCTTGCCCGGGCCGAGGCGCCATTGATCTACAGATTAGCCGAGAAAATCACGCCCCGGTCGTGAACTCACAACGTCAACAACCTGGCACCGAATCACGTCGCGTGGCAGAACTCTCGATGGCACTCGTCCAAGAAGGCTTGGCGGGAGCATCAGATAGTAATAACAAATGCTGTTGATTATGTGTGGAAATTGTCCCATCAGAAATTTAACTAAGTGTAACGTATAGGCTCTGAAAGTAAGAGGAAAAGTGACTTTTTTTGCCGCCCCCTGTAATGTAAGAATGATTAAATTGAAATAGGATTGTTGAAGAAACTTTGAAGCTCTATCATTAGAAAGAACCATTCTGCTTTCCACGGAAATCACGTTCGTAATAAGCTTCCGAAGGTGTTGAGGCGCTGGGAGGTGCCAGGAGGATGGATTTGCTTCAAAAATTGGTGGAGAACGGAGTGGAGTCTCGCCAAACCCGGCCTCCTGACACGCCCAGCATTCGCAGAGAAAACGACTGGAACTGCGATGATAAAAGAGACCATTTCTACTCAGTATTCTTCCCTGGTCAGAAGAGCAGTTGTATCAGTGCGTTATCACTTGTTGACATAAAAACACGGTACTCTGTGATGCGGTGGTACGGTTCATTGCAACCGTGCACTACTCGACGTCCACTTGAGTTTATCCTGATGGAGGCGGTATGTGGTAATGTTGAAGTTTCAGTTTCAGCGCGATCTATGGTGCTGTTATATGAGCGGTAGTGTGTAGTTGCCTCGACGCTATGTGCCTCGGGAGGGCCCTGCCTTTTAGGGGATAGCTATGTCATCCGCAAAAATTGCTGGTTGCTGTGGTGCTGACGTAAAACTGCCTGCTGGCCCTTCCCGAGGCATACATATAGCGCCTGCGTTTTGTCGGTGGGATTACCTCGTGGGCGGTGCTTCCTTGCGCACGGTTGCTCTGAGTGGGTGGTTGTCGCCAACGTGATTGGTGGACGGGCTGAGTGAGGTGTGCGCCAGAAGCCGTTCTACCAATAACGCTGAGACAACCACGCCGCCTCAGCTAACAGCGGCAACACTGATGAAGGTTTTCCATTGCAGGATGTACGTGCCCAAGAGCGGCAAGTGGATGCCACTCCAATTGCTGAAAACGTAGGCACGTGAGTGATTGCATTTCAGTAAACGATGAAGTACCGTGAGAATGCTGATGTAAGCAAAGTGCCAGGGTCACCCTCACTCAACTCGCTCTTCTCCTTTCCCATGTGGTAGCGGAACTTCTCGCTCTTATAAATACTTGATTCAACATTGACAGGCGTCCATCACTTCACATATTGATTGATTCAGTAGCGCGATCTGCGCAGCAAGCGATTGAGATCACTCGCGTCTCACCGCTAATCGTTGAACTGCTGCAACGATTGAAGAAATTCTCTATCTTGGGTGCGATTGAAATAGCACATGCAGCGGTCCAACAATGAACGGTGGAGTCGCGAGAAATGAACGATAAGTAGTGTAGTTTAGATAACAGAGAGTATACGCAGTGATTCCAAGACTGTGGCGTGAAATCACGCAGGGCATCGTCATTGATTGGGGATTTTTGGACGAGTCGGTAACGACCCCCCCCCCCCTACTTCCCCTCATCGGGGGGGGAAGTGGGTGCGGGGAGTGGAATCAGAGTACATATACAGGGGGCAAAAAAAGACGCACTTTTGGCGAATCAGACCATCAGTCGAGGTATTACGCCAGCCCAGAGAAAAGACTGAATTCGAATACGAAGGGCGGAAGAGATACCCAAGGTGTTCCTTGATAAGCAAGAGCAGGGCCCTCGCCCATCACCTTCATGTACACCAAAATATGAAGTCATCAATCGCAGCCTGACTGGAGAAGGCCTTTGGAATTCACGTCACCTCCAAACAGCTGCGAAACTTCTTGTATGGAGTCACCCATGGACAGCTACCTGAGAGCACTCTTGATCTGGAAGACCTCCAACATCGAGCAGCTCCGACAACGTCGCTGCGATCCAAGCAATATCATCTTCACCGCAGTCGCCAAGGCGCGGTTGGTGTATGGACCGGAAGTTCCTGGAATGTGAAGACCGATATTTTCTTCGTGGACCCCGGACTGAAGTGAGCGCTGGCGGTTACATCGACCAACTCGAGGAGAATATCCTGCTTTGATCGGTCGTTTGCACCTTCATGAAAACTTCGTACTGCTACAGGACTGGGTGCCAGCACATGGAATCGAAGGGCATTGGAAAACTCTCGCGTACTTGGAATCGAAAGGCGTTGAGTACCTGAAGAAGACTGAACATCCAAGTGTGTCACTGACCTGAAGTTTCTCGGTTATGAACATCCAAGTGTGTCAACTGACCTGAACTGTCTCGGTTATCGGGTCCGGAAGGAGCTCAACAGGGTGGTCCACAATGGTGGATAAATCAACGCCCTCGCTGAACAGAGGCAACAATCACGGTCGCGTGGTAGAATCTCTGGATGACGTTCCTCCAGAAGGCTGTGGCGGAGTTTCATGATAGTGTACAATGTGTTCTCGAATATGGTGGTGGAAATGTCCAATTAAAATTTGATAAAGTGTAACTAACTAGTAACATCGCCTTGAAAGTCGAGGAGGAAAAGTGTCTTTTTTTTATCGCTACCCCCCCGCTGTATAGCACATATGAAACAGGAGAAACCAAAAAGCCAACAACCTCTCACAGCTCTCTAAGAAGGCCAGAAGGCAAACAAAACCCTCCCTTCCAAACAAGGAGCAACTACGACCGTTCTCCTCCCTTTATGGCATCCCTAAAACAAGAAAATCACTTACCGAAATTTTTTTCTCAGACCAGATACGACCCCCCTCTCCAGCGACCGAATACGACCCTTGGGATGTTTGGGAGTCCCCAACGATGATGTGCCCTGATCAATGGTAAAGGAGCAGCAAGTGAACACACTATCGCCTAGTTTGCGCACCGTTACCACGGCCGACGCCGCAGGTGGAAAACGGAAAGGATGTCGCTCTTTCCGGCCGGCCAACCATAGAACTTCCTCTCCCAGCTCCGCCGCTCCCCCTCCTTTTTCTGTGGTAAGGATAAGTGTTTTGTACAACCAACGCTACCAGACTTTATTTGTAGACCAACTAACTCTGCGAAAAAGGGGACGGTCAAATCCAAGATGACTAAGAGACAGAAATTTGCCC